TGGGGAGAACCCTGTTTTAATATTAATATTAAAACACTTTTCAATGTTTATGTATTTTAATTTCCATGCTACACATGTTGAGTAAAAGTTTTTCTCACCTTTCTCGGTATATCCCTCGAGAAATAACTATAAGCAGCGTATTTCAGGTGACAATTGTCTTTCGTTTTATGATTGAATATATCCATGTCTCCAGACTGCAAAATGGAAAATACAAACATTAGTGTATTACTCGTGATTAAGCCACATGTAGATCTTAATAAGCATATGTGGTGAGAATACACATCAGGGTTCCCTTCTATGTAGTACCACATTTGACGACTAATTTCTGCATCAACTGATATACGAGGACTGTTGACTGCTTTATTGTCAGTAGAGAACAATTTATGCAAATGACAAAGAAAATAGCCAAATTCGTAGAAGTGAACATTTATTGTGATTTTTAAGATAGTAATTGACATCAAAACTGATAGCAGCAAAAGTTAAATTGTTTACGGTTGATCATCCAGTAATCTGGGTACTGTTTGCATAAAGTTTATAGAAAATATGCTCCTCACCTGATCCACCCAGAGTTTTCCTACAATAATATTATGTACAGTAGTTGTAACCTTCCTCCATGTGTAATGGTTACCGGATTTCTTAAACCTTAGATGAGCTATCCCTTGCGGTATAATTAACAGGTATTTACCACGGAATTTGCTGGTCATTGTAAACTCCTGCCAGCATTCCCACTCCTTACTTTCACAGTGTAAAGCTGCAGCTGGAGGATGATGGCTCACCTGTGAAATAAATTTAACAGAAATATAAAGCATAGTGCAACTACAAATAAACCTGCACCACGTTATTCAAGAGAAGGGGGGGGGGGGTATCCCGTCACCTCAGCATTGTTAGCTAACAATATGTAACACTTGCGAAGAACTCATCATGCTTGGAGAGCTCATGAACCTAGATCATTTGAAACCTGGCTTCTGTCATGACATACAAGTTGTCATTTATGGGTCAGGTCAGACAGCTGTGAAACTCCTTGTCAGTAGATGTGGAGATTTGAACTGCACCATGACTGGCACTTATAAGCGAGTTTTTCATACTTACAGAATTAGTTTCCTCAATCATTGCTAAAATAAGTATACACCAAAACTATTTGAATGAGCGACACCTAGGTGTAATTTCATCATGGTAACACTCACCTGTTCAGCTAATGATCTCCATCCCCAGTCGTCCGTCCTATCACATTCATAGGTCTCTCCTAAGAGTGGATTAAAGGGTTTTCCAGTCCTGTGAGTGGTATTAGCATAAGATGAAACTGTAAATGCTGCTACGTAGACTAACTGCTCACATGAATCATCACACTGGGCTGCCTTGTCCAGGATGTCTGAATATTCAAAATCTTCGGTAAGTCTCTGAAGCATGGATATTGGTTCATTAAAGTTCACCTAAAATAAAAACACAAATAGAGTATTATTGTGTATGCGTTAACATTTTCAGTGATATCAAAAATAAACAGATCTTATATAAGCACATGCACTACTAATATGTCGTACACATTTAGAGAAATTCAGTAATGGCTGTCATGGGAACGCGAAAAACAAGGTATAATTTGACAAAAGATATTACATGCATGATTCATTATTCATATAAATGATATGAAAAATTAATATTTTCAATAGATTGGTATGTTTTGTGGAATATATGCCCACCCCTATGTTTTTAGACATTTAACGAGTTGAGGGCATCCCCGAGTATAGGTTCAGGGTGTTTTTCCGAGCGTCAATGACATTTATTAAAATATGCATGTAAAAAGTGTATTTCATTGCATAATAATCGTGATTGGTATGGTAGTTTCTGCTTTTACGAGAAAACTCGCATTAATTTCAGAGTGCAAGGCGGCGAACGTATGAAACATGGTTCGCACCTTTTCTATTCTGTTATTTACTCAGGATGAACCCCGATGTTGCAATACTGAAGTAATCCGTATTTCTTCTGAGTAGTAGTTTTAGAAACGCCAAAAATGTGATCGTCAAGTCGTGAGACCTGGTCCTTGAACGTAGTTTTAATTTTCCGAATAATCGTCTCCATTGAGACCTTTGTGAACGGGATGTGAACGAGCCAACTATTCTTCAGCATGACTTGTTGGCGACCGTGAAAAGTTTAAATACTTCCTCCATCCTCAGTTTACCTTTTGAAAATTCAATCAACAGCTTTAGGAAAAAAAAAATCACCGTTTTTGTCGGAATCAGATCGCATTTTAACATCGCGGTAATTCACTTCCGCATTGCGATGAAAAAAATACTTTGTCAATAATCGGAAAACTTCGTCTGTACGACACAGCATTTTGATTGGTTAACGAAGGACGTGACCTGTCAGGTCAAAGGAAGTTGTTCAGGTCAAATCATGATGTAAAACACCATGACAGAAATTTCTTTGTATCGAGAGTTAACATACGATCAAAAAAATTCCACAACGAACATAATGATAAAGATCTTGCCTTTGACTGTTTTCCCACAGACCCTACCCATTTTTGCACCATAAATTCAGACTGTATGTAAACCGTATTGTAACAAGTCATTGAAAATGACACAGTCCCTGTTAAAGTTCTCTTTGTGCTCGTCATATTAAAGCGGAGGGGTTGTCACGAGCGTGTCCTTGAAACTTGAGTTCCAAATGGCGTATACAACAGATTGTTTATTTACATCAAAACACGTGTTTCGTGTCATAGTAATATGGCCAAAATAAAAACAGCCGTTATTCAGCCATCTTTGATCTGATTATGAAACACACTGATATGTATGATGTATGTGCCAAATACGAATGAAAATGGTACATAAATTGTGGAAATATAGTAGTAAGGCCAAAAAGTCAGATGGCTGTCATGGACATGCATCCTAACATGTATAAAGTACATGTATGTGCCAAATTTGAATGAAAACTAACAGAGCACGTCCAAGATACCGCATAAAAAAACAAAAACATGATGCCTGCCAGTCGACCATCTTTGATCCAATTGCGAAATAAATCGTCATGGACATGTATCCTAACATGTATAATCTATGTACCAAGTTTGAATGAAAACTGACAAAGCATGTCCAAAATACAACATTTTCAAAAAACAAGATGGCTGCCAGTCGGCCATTTTAATCGAATCGCTAAACCACTGCATGTGCATATGTCCCACATAAGGTACAAGACACATGCAAAGATTGAACGGAATCGGTCCACAGGATTCTGAAATATGACGTTGGATAGACTGACGCACGGACAGACGGACCACGAACGGTCGGACGGACAGACTCAGGAACTCACGGACGGTCGGGGACATGTATCCTAACATGTATGGTCTATGTACTAAATTTGAATGAAAACTGACAAGGCATGTTCAAAATACAACATTTTCAAAAAACAAGATGGCTGCCAGTCGGCCATCTTTGATCCAATTGTGAAATAAATCGTCATGGACATGTATCCTAACATGTATAATCTATGTACCAAGTTTGAATGGATACTGACAAAGCATGTCCAAAATACAACATTTTCAAAAAACAAGATGGCTGCCAGTCGGCCATTTTGAATCGAATCGCTAAACCACTGCATGTGCATATGTCCCACATAAAGTACTAGGCACAGGCAAAGAATGAACGGAATCGGTCCAAGGGATTCTGAGATATGACTCCGGACGCACGCACGGACACACGGACGGACGGAGACCGAATTATAAGTCCC